TCGACGCGTCTCGACGAGAGGAACACGATGGTGGCAAAAGTAATGTCATGGCTCTTTTGAGTCAAAAGTTATTGCCGAAAAAAACGTTTTTCGTAAAAACGGCTATTTTTTTAAATTTTGCCCTCTGGAGGCTAAACCGTTGACCTGAGGTCAAATCTGAGAACATTACTCAGAAAGGTCTGTAAAAGGGCTATCCAATGCGCTTTTCCGCGGCGCTGTAGCTCTATCGGTTCCCGAGATAGCCGTTGGCAGTTTCCAAAATGTTGAAATAGTGAACATTTGACCTTTGGTGACCTCTGGTGACCTGACCTTTGACCTGACCCAAAAAATGTCCCGAGTGTTTTCGTCCTTATTTTGGACGTTCTTTCGATTGCCGCTTACCGCGTGTCGCTACGTGGCCCAGGAGCCGAGTTAGAATGGGGGTGTTCAGACACCCCCCCCCCCCCGGCTGGCGCGGAATCTCAGAGCACCGGCCCGGCGCGGGTTAAATCACTGTCCTTTATTTTATGTCCTTTTTTATTTAACCCGCGCCCGGCTGGGGGTCCTGGATTTCCACGCCCTCCTGGATGGGGGGGGGGGGGTGTTTGAACACCCCCTTCTAACTCCGCTCCTGGGCCACGTAGCGATACGCGGAAGGCGACGTTCGAAAGAGCGCCAAAAATAATGACGAAATCACTTCGGTCACTTTTTTGGTCAGGTCAAAGGTCAGGTCACCAGAGCCCAGAGGTCATTGAAGGCAAAATTTCGCCGATTTTCAGGTCGAATGTCGACAATTTCCAAGAAGCCAACGCATAACTCGGGAACCAATAGAGCTACAGCGCTGCGGAAAAGTGCATTCGATAGCCCTATTAACGCCCTTTCTGAGAAATTCTCTCAGATTTGACCAAACGCCAACGGTTTTGCCTGCAGGGGTAAAAACTACAAAAATAGCCGATTTTTTCTGTTTTTTTCTGTTTTTTTTTTTTTCTGCAATAACGTTTGACCCAAGCCTTGCACGAACTTACTTTTACCGGCATCGTGTTCCTCTTGTCAAGACGCATCGAATGAACTGTAACTTGACCTTGAAAGGTCAACTTGAAAATTTGACCTCAGGTCAAGGTCATGACCTGACCGGAAATGGTCATGCTGCATATCAGTCGATCCGTATCGTCGAGTTGAACACATCCGAGGCGTTTTCATTGCTCTAGCATGCCTCTATCAAAGTTATTCGCGAAAAACTGTTAGATATCATCCGTGACCTGAGATGACCTCAGGGGCATTAACAGGGGTCACGGATACAATTTTCATATTCAATGTTTCTTATTTGTTTGTTATTCAGTGTTTGGGAGTGTTTATAATGGCTTTCGTCCAAAAAAAAAGCTCTTTTCAATTTTCTCCAATTGACTTATACCTAATGGGGAGGTCGCAAAATTGGCCTGACCTTAGGTCATCGTTATCAAAATTCTGAGATATAAATTTTGTACATACTATTGCTTTTAGCAATCGCTGAAAGTTTCAAAGCGATCGGTCACTCGGTGTAGCTATGGCAGACATTGAAACTTTTTATGAGGTGGAGTCACTTCAAATGACCTGGTGACCTGATCTTGAATGACCTTGGTCTGAAATTTTTACAACATGTGTAGAATTGATGCAGGATATGGTGTGCCAAAAGCGGTGGCGCTCCGCGCCGCCGTTTTTTTTAAATAGATATTTGCGAAAAACCACAGGGGGTGTTCAAACAGCAGGGCAGGGCACGCGGGTTAATGTTATAACTTTTAACCGTATTTCATCCGCAGTGTAGATAATATTGACACTTTTGTCCGTTTTCTAGATCGCTAGGTAGGAAATTAAAAAAGTAAAGAAATTTAAAAACAAATATAAAGAAACATTTTGAGGGCAATGTCACGTAACTGAACGTTTCGAGATACGATTTCCCAAGTTTTGCCCCTTTTCCTTGCAGAAAAGTATTCTGAGAACATACGGTCTCGAGGCTACAGCCATTACTGCTTCTACTGCTAAATGCACTTTTACAGAAGTTTACCAGCTGAATTCGCTTCATGTGTACCTGCTGCGCAGAAGTGAATAGTTAAGTACCTACGCTTGGACTAGCAACTAAAATACCGGCGTGAACTGGCAGTCGCCAGGCACCAGCCATTGTGCTGTCACCGAGATAGTGCCAAGCCTTGTCGGCAGAACACAACAGCCCCGGGGCTGGGCCGCTCTGCAGTTCCTGTGTGGGGTTCAGTCACCGATAAGCCGGTTTGAGCCCGACTCTCCAGCTGCCCGCAGCCGTGAACCGAACGCCACCGTCGAGTCATCTGTGCACCACCAGGTTTTCCAATGCTACCAGGTGCTCCCGGGAAAGCCTCGGTGCAGAGCGCGAGGGCTGCAGCGCCACGGCACCGGCCCAGACCGGCTGATGACGTCACCAGCACGCGGCCCCCACCGATCGGTGGGCGATGACGCCGCCGCGCCGCCGCGACGAGCACGGCCACCGCACAGTGGGATAAAGACGGCGAATTGTGGACAAATGTATCGTTTAACTATGCAGGCTGTTTATCTCAAATAGTCCCTACGTTGCAACGATGTGTTGAAAAATCATTTATTTGACTCTGACTGTCAATGTAAATATTTTATAATTATTTTGACTGCACTTCCGTGCGGTTGCCTCCCGGTTCTCGTGATATGAGATAAGAGCTAACAACGACTAGTTATATGGCCAGGGGACAATACGGGCTAAGAAAAAATCCATTTCCATTAGTACATACTACATAGACACAGACAAACCTGGTAAAAAATGTTTTATGATTTTATTACAATTAGGGGAAGGTGGGGGTAGGACGGACCAGCTAAGATTTGAGGTCGCATATCTTGCTATACACTGCTGTCGTAACTCATATTGTTTATAGTCTCCTGAATGCTCAATCCTTCCTCTTTTGATATGTGCAAACACTGAATTTCAAATTAAAGAAGTCTAGGTGATGGCTCATGGCTGCTCTTAAAGGGGGACATGTCAAAAATTTCTCCGACAAGAAAAAAAACCGCGGGGTTATACGGACCACCCAACAGTGCCTGCTATCCACGACACTTTAGATTCTTATACTACACCTTTTTAGGCTCAAGTTCGAATAAGCCAAGTTCAAATTCGAATAAGTCAACTTCATATTGGAAGATGTCAAATACAAAATCGGATACCTCAAGCTCAAATTGAGATATGCCAACATCAAATTGGAAGAAGTCAAATGCAATTTCGTTTTACTCAAGATCAAATTCAAATACACCAAATTCAAATTAGAATAAGGCAACTTCAATTTCGTCTTGTATTAGTAGTGTTTGTTTATTTGTCATCCTTTAGGTATCACTATAAATAAGTTCTTCGTCACCGCATGCATGACATTTTCAGTCACAATGCAAGTAGGTACTTTGATGATGGACGAATGCGTTTGTTTTCTTTTTACGAGCGCGTGAAAAATAAAATGTTGAGAAATATGTACGTATCATACTCATACGGTAAAATAGGTCCAGGCCCCAGGGAAAATGCAAAGCATATGCAGTCTAAAATTAAAAAAAAATAAGCTTTACAATTGGAGCAAAAGTAATTGCACGCATACATAATGACAATTGACTCGAAGCAATGGACGGCTCGGACACCGTCACGGATGTCAGCGATCTTGAGCTGTCAGACAGTTCCGCTACACGTGAACCAGTTGGCCGCTACACGGCTCGCTCTCCCCGCCACTGCCCAGTCTGATATCGCCGCTGGCTGACAGCTTTGTGTAAATATGAGTTCATGATGGCGGGACATTTTTGCATACTATGGGCACAAGTTTTCAAATGGCAGATTTCCGTTTCGTGTCGAGCATAGACCGCGTCACCCTGGCAGAGCTGCGAGCTGCGAACTGAGATATGTAGTTCATGACGCAGTCTTTTATCGAAACGAGTCTGGGCGAGATGGGAGTCGACAGCCAAAGTCGATCGAAGGTAGATGGCGATTAGGATTAGGAAATCATAATAATAATAGCATAATATAATAATGATAATAATAATAATAATAATAATAATAATAATAATAATAATAATAATAATAATAATAATAATAATAATAATAATAATAATAATAATAATAATAATACCTAATAATAATAATAATGATAATGATAACGATAGCGATAATGATAATGATAATGATAATAGCATCATAAGAATTATATTTATTTACGGCAGGTAGCTGCGATGAAATTGAATTTGTCTTATTCTAATTTGAATTTGACGTATTCGAATTTGATCTTGAGTAAGTTGAAATTGCGTTTGACTTCTTCCAATTTGAAGTTGGCATATCTCAATTTGAGCTTGAGGTATTCGATTTTGTATTTGACATCTTCCAATATGAAGTTGACTTATTCGAATTTGAACTTGGCTTATTCGAACTTGAGCCTAAAAAGGTGTAGATCGGTTTGACGGGCCGTCCCCCACCTTCCCCTACTCAGAATCCCGGAGAAAAGGAACTGATTATTTCAAGAAGAGCGTTTCTTTTGGAATGACGAGTCAAAACTGAAGGCGCAGTGTCGGAAGTCGACAAAAGCTTATTTGTCGTTCAGATTTAGTAAATAGTGAGCACGTAGGTACCTATAGTCGTTTTCGCCAGCGATACGACTGTGTCTTAATCTTTTAGAACATTACATAGCTGAGGCCTGAGCTGTCAGACGGCTTTGTACACTGCACAGTGGACTGACAAGCGACGAGTGATCATATTGCCTGGACGGTATCTGCGGTCGGACTGCGGTGAGTTTTCTAATTGCTTTCATATTGTAATTAGCGATATGCACAATCGGGTTTTCGTTATCCATGAATAAGAAAGCAGACTAGTGCTTCCGTAATCCGTAACCTAAAACCTCGGCTCTTCCAAAGCTAGAACTATATACTACCATTTTGTCGCAATCTGGATGCTTCCCCGGTCCACCGTGCGTCGCCGTGACTGGTGGCGGTAGAGCGAAGGGCGCGGGGCAGAGGGGAGGGGGAGACTCGCCAGACTCGCTCGGAACCCGGCTGGTCGGTCCCGTCATTCCAGAACGAGCAACCATGTGGACAGCACAGACAACCGTGGCGCTCCTGGCGGGTCTTACCGGTGAGTTTATAGCACAGGCTTAGAGGTCGGTGGTAAGCTAGAAACAACCATTGTTTTTGTTGATACGCGATTGTGGTTTGTTTGCGGTCTCACGTGATGTTTGTTGTTGTTGTGAAAATGTAGATTCTGTATTCCTCAGCGCGCACCCTCACACCGTCAGTCCATCTCGCTCACTGACTCACCGCCTGCCCGGACACAGCTTGGCCCCGGCGGCAGCGACCTGACACCGCCTGAGCGAAGTCCATCCGACTCGCATCGCGGAAAGCATCACTTAGCATCGAAAAGCATCACTGAAACTACACTCCACCCTTGATCTCGAAGGATCAACCCATCGATTGGAAATACTGGGCCTGTCTACGTTCCCGCTCGCTTCTACGTGGAATCTGTCGCTCCTCCTCACCCACAATCTCAGCTGACTCTCCCTCCACGACTTCCGGCCCACTGTTCCCCTCTGAGCCCGCATCATTCACCACCGGCACGGTAATGACCAGACTCTCACCGTCCCTCTCTCCCTCACTGTCGCCCTCACTAACGGGCCCCTCCTCGACGGCGGCATTCCGTCGGCGTAAATTTCTCACGTGCCACGGCACTCCATCGACTTCTACGACCTGCTCAGAAACGACATCAGACACCGTGCCGGGACGCGACGCATCAACACACCGAGTTCCCCGACGACGTACCCAGACAGGGTCGCCAACACGATACGCGGCTGCCTCACTGTTCACTGGTACGGGGTTGGGCGCCGGCGGTGCAGCAGCGGGCCGCACATTGTCCCTCACATTGTACCGGAACACGACACTCGCGGGTGCAGATCCACCCTCGCGCGGCGTTACATTGTACAGGTGGACTGCCTCGGCCACCGAGCATTGTTTTCGCGCAGCAATGACCTTGATCGTGCGATGGTTCCGCTCAACTATCGAATTGCCAGCCGGCTCATGAACCGCCCTAAATCGAAGACGCACGCCCCACCTCGCTGCAAAAGCCGCAAAACTCCGACTGCGAAAGATGGTGTCATTATCACAAAGCAGCTCCTCAGGTGCCCCGCGCTCGAAGAAGATCTGTTCGAGCTGAGCGATCGTGACATCAGCGTCCGGACGACTCAGGTGTCGCCACAGACAGAACCGCGAGGGTCCACAGTCCACAACCGAGAGAAACGACTGGCCCCGGTAGTGCGTTACATCAATTGCCAGTCGCTTCCATACGTCAGACACTTCCAACGAGCCATGCCTCCACTTCATTGGCGCCGGATCGATTGAGCGGCACGCGTCACACTGGCTCACCACATTTTGCACTTGAGCTCGCGTCACGTCCTTTGAAATGTCACGCCGTGCAAAGTACAGTGTCCGACGAACCCCGGGATGTCCGGCGCGGTCATGCACTCCTGCGATGGCCTCCGCAATATCAGCAGAGCCTCCTGGTGCAAGCTGATCCTCCGTCCGGTCCTCTGCCGCGCCGGCCGAGTCTCCCCGCGGCGTCATCCGATCCACCTCAGCGCTGCTACCACCTGCAGCTGCGACTTGATCGCCTCCTCTCAGTACTGCCGAACCCGATGAATCGTCATCAGAGTTAGGCAATGCCAGCCCATTGGCCGCAGCCTCGCAGCCGGCCATTGTCTCAGTAGCTGCAGGCGATGACTCATCACGCACCCAGTCTTTCGGCACTCGGGTCAGCTCGTCTGCTCGATTCGCTGCGCTCCGCACTAGAGTTACAGACAGCGACAGCTCGAGCTCATCCACCAGCTGTCGAATCATGTCGACCCTGCGTCTGATCAACATCTCTCCGTGTGCCTTGGTGCGCAGCCGAGTGCGGCCGCTCAATGCATCGTTGATCCAACGGTGCACTGTGACCGAGTCCGTGCGCAGATCGATGACACGCATGTCCCAAGCGACGGCCACGTTGATGCCTCTCACGGCCGCATTTAGCTCCGCAACATTTATGTGTGTGGATTCATCCTTCCTCAGCCAGCATCCGTCTTCAATGACGTCGCCGTCAGGTGACTCCACCACCACACCCGCTGCTACGGAGCTCGCATCCACCCAAACCACAGCGCGGTCGCTCCGCACGCTCCACAGACCGTGTGCCGGATCGTGACTGGCTAACCGAGCCGCGACATGACTAATCTGCTTCTGCAGAACTCCGTCGTAGGTGATGTCATCCCATCCTTGTGTGACGTCATTCACGCGTCGTTTCAGCCAGGCCACGGCAGGGCGGAGCCAACCACACACGGGCATGTGAGCGATCAGGCGTCCGCACCACGAGAACACTCCACGGCGCGTGAGCACAGCCGGTGGTGGTCCGACTGGGTTGTCTCTGCTCCACACCAGCCTGCCAAGCTCCCGTGAGACTCGCAGACCGAGCAGACGCGCACCGCCTGCCGCCCGCTCTGGAGGCTTGCACTCGAGACCAAAGTTCGCCAGATGAGCCACCACTCGCTCTGCGCTAACAATGTCCTCGTTCACCAGCAGATCGTCCACGTACGGAAGCACTGCCCGGTTTACGTCCGCGTCACGTTCCAGAACCGTCCGAATCACCGCCTTCATGACGAGCGGAGCCACGCACAATCCATAACCGAGCCGTGTCAAACAATGTCTCTGGTTTTCGATCATCACCGTCTGAAACGGCCACAGCTGGCGGTCAACCTGAATCTGCAAATACGCGTGACGTAGATCTACGACCGCAACGTTTTCGCCATGTCGTCGCCACTTCCTCAGTTGGTCCGCACAGACGTCTGCGTCAGCTGTGTGAGCTGTCAAGTAATTGTTCAGTTCACGATAGTCAAGCACAGGTCTCACTTTCGATTTGTTCTTTTGTTGAACTGCCATTAAAGGCACCAGACCCTTTGGTGGGCCAAGCTCTGACTCGTTGTAGGGAATAAGCCAGCCCTGCTCCACCCAACGTTTGAGTTCATCGTCAAATTCACGGCGAGCGTCACACGGCACCCTGTACTGTGCGACAGTGTTCTGCAAGCACTCCGGCTCTGCTCCGTCAGTCCACTTCCATTTCATTCTCCACGCCTTAGATGTCGGATCAAAGTACACGGCATAATCTGGTGCATCCACAACTGGTGCCCGGTCCGGGTGCAGGTCGGTCGGTGTCGGTTCGGGTTGCGCCGCCGTCTCATTGCAGCCCGGATGCAGCGATGAGGCTGCTCCATCCGAGACGCCACTGGCAGCCGCTGCAACTGGAGCGGCCGGCACAGCTGAGTCCACTCCAAAGTTCACTTCACTGGATGCACTAACGAACACGCCCTGCAGAGCAGTCACACCGTTCATTCCCAGAATGAATGAAAAGTTCAAAGGCTTTCTAGCAGACACCAGCACTTCCAACTCAACTCGAGCACCAAACATGGTCTGCACTGACACGTAACCTCTGCCTTCGCATGCGTATCGTTCTCCACTCAGTGTCACAACGTTGATTCGCTCCGCAGACCAGCGGCGGCAAACGGAGGAGTGCGCGACGCTCACGGTGCATCCGGTATCCACGAGGGCTCGACACATCACTCCGTCCACCGACAGGCGCGTGGTCGGCAGAGCGCCACTCACTGGTGAGCCGGAGAGGAGGCTGGCGCTGAGGCCACCTCTCCGCCGCCGTTTTCCGGGCAGGTAGCTGCCACGTGGCCGGGTCGGCTGCACCGGAAGCAGAGCCTGCTTCCGCCCAAACCACCTCGACGTCCACGGCCACCTCGACCACGAAGACAATCGCGGGCCAAGTGGTTGGGCTGTCCGCACGCATAGCAAACGGTGGCTTCCTGACGGCGCGGACCGCGGTGGTCTGCCGCTGCAGCTACCCCCAGAACGCTATCTCGACAGAGGATAGCACGGGCCCGGTCCACCATCTCCGACAGAGACAGGGACTCCATGCGGGCGCCTGTCTGGAGAGCGTGCCGCACGGACTCGGGCAGTCCTGCCACAAATGCGCAGCTCAATCCCTCTTCGTTAATGCCTCCGAAGATCGACGACAGTCTTTGTAGGTCCGCCAGAAACACATCGACGGACTCGTCGACCCGCAGCTGGCGATCTCGGAACTCTTCGTAGGCTTTAAACTTGTCGACTGCAAACGCACGCTGCAAAGCCGCCTTCACTTTCCCTGCGTCCGCCTTGTCGGCTTCACTCAGTTGGCGATAAACAGCCGAGGCACCCCCTGTCAGTCTCAACGGCACCACCACGGCCAAGTCCACTGCCGGTTTTTGCAGGCCACACACCAGTTCCACCTTCTCATACCAACACGAAAAGTCACTAGTGCCATCATACTCCGGGATAAGTTTCAAGTCGAAGTTCGCCATGATTGCCGAAATAGCTTGTAGATTCTGTATTCCTCAGCGCGCACCCTCACACCGTCAGTCCATCTCGCTCACTGACTCACCGCCTGCCCGGACACAGCTTGGCCCCGGCGGCAGCGACCTGACACCGCCTGAGCGAAGTCCATCCGACTCGCATCGCGGAAAGCATCACTTAGCATCGAAAAGCATCACTGAAACTACAGAAAAGCTGTGCTTTCGAAGGGATGCTGAGGAACAACCGATAGATTGACTGTTTCACAAGTAATTTGTATCAAATCTTAGAAGTTTACAAGAGTTATTATGTGCCAAAGGTTTAACAAAAAATATGTATACATATTTTTTGTTTATTACCTTATATTAATATATATCAATTACCTTATAAGGCAATTACTTCCTATGGATAACAGTTGGCATTTCTCTATGACTCAACAATTCTCGGTGATTTTTTTACATAACAATTTATGTCAACAACTGTCAACTACACTGAGCGAAAATACTTTGTGAATAACTTCAGTGCATCAATCCTGATTATTCGCATTTTTTGACCTTATTCAACAGCAATTGGGCTAATAATTACAGCAGGCCCCTGATATTGAATAAGATAGCTGTCCTCACCTAATTATTTTGATATTTATCACATTTTTCCATGTTTTAGCGCACCAACTGTCGATAGTATTACAGCTGAGACCTTCTGTCGGTATGCACCATTTATTGTACAAAT